GCATCAGGTTGGGGAGAGCAACCATTAGCCTTGGCCATCGCCTGTGGTGTTTGGGGTGAGGGTGTCAATGTACATATAAATTCAAAGAGACTGTGGGAGCAGGCACAGGACCTAAACAAGTTCAAGTCAGACAGGGGTCCCCAGCCCCAAGAGGGAGACAAGAACACAGGGTCCTGTCCCTAACCAAGAAACTATTTGCAACGGACTCTAGTTGGCAAAGGGAAAATTAATTTTCTCCAATCAAGTGTCACCGGGTATATCAACCACACTCCAGGGTGGCCCCATACCCAGAAGAAGCTATCTAACACCCGATGAACTCCTTGTTTTGTTTTTATGGCCTTTTTGTTTCATTTTGGCATTTTCGTGCATGCGTTATTGGTTTTGTATTTACTTTCTTTTTATTTTCATTTCTGTTTTTTGTTTGTGAGTGTGGAGGAGCAGGAGGGGAAGAACATGAAGTTGGATAGGGAGGTGGAGAGGATCTGGAAGGAGTTGGGAGACTGGACAACTTGATGGAAAAATACCATTTAAAAATTTTAGATGAAAAATAAAGGGGGGGGCAGGGAGAAAAGCTACAACCTTTTGATACAATGTAAACTATTTAGCCCACGAGATAATACAACTTTTGATACAATGTAAACTATTTAGCCCACCAGATAATACAACTTTTGATACAATGTAAACTATTTAGCCCACCAGATAATACAACTTGAACCTCACATCTCCAGCTACGTTTAGATTGGAGAGTGTATTACTCTGCTGTGGCCGCCTAAATAAACTGCTGCAGGCTAGGCAGTTATGTAGAAATGTATCTTCTCAGGATCCAGAAGCTGGAAGGGAAGACAAAGGTGTCATGGGGCGGGGGGGGGGGGGGATAGTTTCCTCTGTAACCCCTCCTTTGTCTGCAGGTGGCTGGTTTTCTTGTGTCTGTGTGGTCTTCTCTTGCACACTCTATGTTTGTCCCAACTTGTTCTTCTTGCAAGGACAGCAGTCACACTGAAGCCAGTCTCTCCTAATGACCTCATTTCCAGCTAATTGCCTCTTTAAAGATCCTATCTCTAAATGTCCCATTTGGAGACACTGAGAATTAGGCCTTCAACACATGAGTTTTGAAATGACATAATTAAGACAGCAGGATGGAGTTTCCAGGACTCTTTATGTTTTCCTTAGAGAAGTGCCTTCCTTCTGCAGAAAAACAGCCCAAGTCTCATTTGGCTATATATGTAGACAGATTTCTAGAAGTAAGATGTGAGTGCATCTATGTATCGTGCATTCTGTCCTAAGATGTGAGTGCATCTATGTATCGGGCATTCTCTCCTAAGTAAAATTGTTTAGTGTCTTTGAAGAACCTTGACACTATACAGAGAAAAACTGTCTGGAGGGGCCCGTGGAAGCATTCCACCTTTGGCTATTTGCAATTATCACACGGACTTGTGCAAACCAACCAGTATCAAGTTAAAAGAAAATCAGATCAATGGTTGGAAAAATCAAAGCAGATGCTCATTAGGCTCGCCTAAGTCAGAATTAGCTCCACCTTTCAGGTTCTGTGGCAATTGTGCTCAACATCTGCAGAACAAAGCCAGTGCCTTTAACTCACCACAGCCTCCAGTTTATAGTTCATCTTCGGCTCCTCTGATCTATTGTATTTGTGCTAAAGGGCTAAGGAAGCGAGTTACAAAATCAGAGAAACTAGAAATATTAATTTTTCTAGTCCAAGATAATCACCCTCCTTAGGTTTCACTGTGCATATCCTGGGGAAACTTCTGGTCATAGAGCAGAATACTGTCCATACTCAACTTCCAAAACAGCTGTGTTCCAAAGTGTCTTTTGGAAGTCAGTTATTAGAAACTGTCAAGAAACTTTCCCATGAAAACGATGTTATTTATGTCAATTACATTCCCGGCCCAGCCCTTAGAACTCTATTCAACTCTCATCACAAAAAAATATGGTATTGATAATATAGTGTCTCTGAGGCCTCCTTACCAACAGGACACTGGCTTTGTGGAAAGAGAAACAGTGTCATGAGTGTAATAAATGAGCTTAAGTGTATCAGTGTGCGCTGCTCATCTGTGCTGGCACCCATTTGTATCAAGGAGGCTGAAGATTCTGACCGCAGGGAGCAGAGCCTGTTTTGAACTCTTGACAACTGGGCTAGGACCTTGGTGACCACAGCCAGATGACTGTCTTGAAATCTAGAGTTTATCCGAGAGAAAAAAATCTGTAGACCTTTGAGACACTCACAACCAAGCTCCGTATCTAGAAAGAAAGATCTGTAAGCCACAGCTGGAGAAAGCTCAGGGTGCCGCAGAACAGGCCAGGGGCAAGTGGGTACAGATGTCAGCTCCCAGGAGACTTGGGCGGTGAGAGGAACAGTCAAGGGTCAGGGGTACAGACTGAGTTTAGGACCAAGAAGGGAGCTAGAAGGGCCAAAGGAAAGGAAGTTGTTTTCTTCCAGGTGTCATCTTTGGGCTAAGCAATAAGATATTACGGAAGGGTAGGCCATAGCCATGAGAGGCGGCCGTTTGCAGTCCCCGAGGAGGTACAGCTGAGCAGAGATACACTTTACACTCACTCATTGTCTGTCAGGGGCCCCAGCATGAGAGCACTTTGGGACACCAGAGAACCAGTGGGTTGACCAGATCCAAGACCCCTGGAAGGAACAAAGTAAACTGTCACTGGACAAAGGACTCTTTTCCCATCTCTCCACCTCACCCCAGCAGCATGGGTGTTCATTTGCAACATGATTTACAGGAAATATGGGAGCTGAACTCTCATCCGTTCTCCCTTTCTCTGTTTCCCTCTCTCCTCTCCACGCCCCCTCTTTGTGTTGCACAGGGGCCCAAATCCAGGGCCTCGTGTGAACTAAACAATGCTTCTCTCACTGCGCTACATCCTAAGCCCAGGAAACTGACTTTCTTTCAAAAGAAATCTTCATTTGCTTCATGAACACTTAAACCGTTTATCACTTTTTTTAAAGCAGGGATTCCGAGCACAGCTGAAAGCTCTCCTCTGTCTTTGGAGGAGGGTGGTGAGATTAAGACGAACACCTCTACTACCGAGGAGACTGAGGTGACTACGGACAAAGTTGCACAGCTCCTGGGGGGAATGAGATGGGAAGCAAGGTTAGCTATGTTTTCAACGTTTTTTTGGGAGAATTCTTCTAGAAACCATGCTCTCCAACCGTGATCCTCTCCCAAGATCAATTTCTTAGAGAAGGAGATTTTTTAATGCTACTTTAGAAAGGCAATGCCTATATGATGACCACCTCTTGGCTTTATATTCTTGGAACAGAGTTGGAGAAGCAGGAAAGAAACAAAATCGAATCATTTACAATAAGTTATACAGGACCCAAAGGAAGCCTTCACGGATTTCTGACAAAGACTGACTTCAGCAGTCAGTAGAATGACTTCAGATTCAGGAGCTAGAGTAAACACCACCCCTGCCCTCTGGACTTAGAAAGGAGGCCACGTGGCTCTAGATGGTGGCTCTCAGGATCTCAAGGTGAGGACGAGTGGGTGAAGAGCAGGTTAGAAGCTCTTGTGCCTGAGACTCCCACCGGCATCGTCTCCCAGTGACGCGCTTTGGCTCCGGGCTGCTTCCTAGAACCATCACCATTTCTCCTGGAGCCCATGTCTTTGTTTTCCCCACGACCACCATCTGACCAGAGCCTTTCTCTTCTGCTGTCCTCTATGTTTCTAAACTCATTTCCTTATCCACCCTTTCCAATGTGGCCATGTTCCTGAAGGATAGGCACTGCCCCGTGATCATTTGATACACCTTTCTTGGGATATTCAGTTTTATTCAAGGATAACTGAACCTCCCATTTCCCTCCAAACGAGATTTCTACACAACGAGGCAGCACACAAGCAAATGGTGAGGAAACTCAGTCTAAGACAGGACGGCCACTGTGATCTGCCCCTGACCACAGCCCTAGATGCCTGGGGAATGCACTTAATTAGCTCCGTTGTTTTGGGTAGTGCATTGGTGGAAAGCAGAGAGACTCAGAGAGAGCTCATGGAAGCGTTCTTGAGGTTTTCTGAGGGGGCTTTTCTGCTAAGAATGGAAGACATGCCAGGCTCTCCCTGGAGGAGTAACAGGGCAGGGATTTACCCCCAGGAAATCAAAATATAGAGGCAGGGTGGTAAAAAAAAAACAGAGCGAAAACACAATTGAACAACGATTTTAAAAGCTTAGCACTTACTTACCAAGAATAATTAGCTAAAATAGGAAGCTACCAGATGGCTTAGGCTTGTGATTAAAACCCATCTGTGAGCCACATTTCCAGCCGGAGACCTCATTTGAGGGGTTTGTTTGGTGCAGCATCAGGGGCTCAGCTCCAGATCCGGAACTGGGAGAGATGACTGTGCCCTGATCCTCCCGGGTCCCACTGACACCTTCTCTTCCTTTGCTGACTCCACCTTTTTCTTCCCCCCTGAAAGGTTTGCAAGGATACATTTTGTGTGCACAAAGACCCCTGAGTCGTTCACCCATCACACCCACAGTGGCCTCTCTTAGTTTCTGCATAGAAACAGGGAGCGGTCCTTGGGAGATGGAGCTGGGGGTTGCGCCGCATAGAAGCAATGAGCCCGGGAGGGGAGCCTGGCTTTGGATGTTCTCCTGAGCCCTTCCTCGTCCCCCTCCCTCCCTTTGGTTTTGCATCCATTCTGCCACCACAGAGGGGACACGGTAGTTCAGAGATGACCCTCAGCTTAGCAGTCTCATGACAGGATTGTTTGCACCTAGAAACATTGTGGGTCTTCCTCCGTCGTAATGGAGCCAGAGGCTAGACCTTGAGGAGGACATGCGGGCCCACATGGAGAGGGCTCTGGTGATGGTAATGCCCATTGCCTGCAAACACAGGGGGAGAAAAAGCGCCCCAAATCCTTTGAGAGACACTTTGTCGGCTCACCTCAAGTGTTCTCAGAGCCAGGTGCTGCTCTGCTACTCAACGCTCGTTTGTTTCTTTCCTTGCGCAACGCCCCCTCGCCTTTCCTTCCTGATATGGAGAACGCTGTGTGAGAGCGATCACTCCGTGGGTTCCGTGATTACAGCCTAAAAGGTATGACAGAGCCTCCGCTCAAGGGGATGAGCTCAGTGGACGTCGGTGGCGTGAGTCTCATTCACAGAGAGTTCAGTGGGATGTCGGCATCATGAGTGGCTTTCACCCGGAGGGAGAAAGAAAGTGCTCACCGCATCGTAATTATTGCTATGGTTATGCCGTTATTAAATCTTCCGGCAGTCACCAAGACACGGACGTCTTGGACGACATTAAATGCTGGAATCACAGCAAGGGTCCGTCTGAGTGCTTGGGAGCGCTCCAAGCCTTTTGACACGCATATGCTTCCAGACGTGTGGGCTACAGAATATTGTCATAAATAAAAGTCTAGTTAGCAAACTCAAAGACATGGCAAGTGAGATATAAACTCACGCAGCACATGTTAACCAAGGCGAGAGCTGTCAAGATTGGATTCCCAAGGGCCGAAAATGGAAAGGGACCCGTGAATTCTGGGAGATGGTTCGAACATAGAGTCGGCGTTAGCATCTGTCAGTTGGACTTCCAAGGTGGGGCTTGGTAGCCAGGCAAAAGCACATAAGATGGTCCAGATTTTCCACTGGATATCACATTACTATCTGCAAGAATGGTTTGAACTTGGTTGGCTAAAACCGAAAAGGAAATACAGGAAACAGTCAGGTTCATGTTAGCGTTAGAAGGCAGAGAAGGGCTAAGGGGACAGTCTGGGCAAGACTTGCAGACCCTCATGGGGTCATTTGGAATATTTGGGTAGGAGGACTATGAAACCATCACCTTATTTAGGTCACGGGGTCTCTGCTACGGGCTATGAGTGTGGCTCGTTCTATTCCCGGAGCTATCTATGAGAATTCAGGCAGTGTCGAGGTAAAATCTCTGCCAGGTCACCAAGAGGGATTCCTGGGGACAGGCTTAGCATCAGTCGCAGATGATTGAGAGAACCAGACACTTAGTACCTGATACTTTCTTAATAAAGCACTTGAGATGTGCATCAATTTGTCTTACCCGAGTCCAAGAATAGTTTTGTTTCTTGCCAGTAATATATCAGCCTTGGCATTCTGATGTAAAATACATAATTATATAAGTGATTTAGATTTGTGCTTTTAAAAAAGTTGTATCTTAGCTTATTTAGGTTATTGCAAAAGCTAAGAAAACACAACATCCATTGTCTTCTTGGGTTTAATTTACTAGAATAATGTGGTCCTAAAGGTACTCAGAAAAGTCATCATGGTAGCTGTGCTTAACATACAGCATGCACTAAATTAAATTTATGAACAGAGTTTAAATTATTTGTATTTAAGTAACAACATTTATAAATAGAACAAAATATTATTCTAAATGATTTTTTAAAAATGATAACTTATTTTGGTTTATAAATAGAATAAAATTGCTAAGATGAACTTAAATTAATTAAGAGCATTTTTCTTGTAGTATTAAGAGTGCACACAGATAAGATTTTGGTTTAGCAAAATATTTGGAGGCTCAGAAACGATAATTCTATGTACACTCAAAAGCAAGAAAATTGGTTTTGCTGGAATGAAGATATTTTTGTAAATCAAAAATACAAACCCAAGAAATACAACATGGGGCAGATGAATGACAGCTGTAGACCAAGTCGCCTTGTTGGGAAGAGGGTGTGTGGTGGAGAACTTCCCCATGATGGATGCCTAGCGTGGTATCACTGGAAGGACTTGGGATAATCAGACATCTGCAGTGTCGAACCTGAACTGGCACCTTTTCTGGAATGATTTGGCAGGGTGCTTCAGCAGGCATAAAACATTCCTACTTTGTTTATCCTTCCTGCCCCACGCACTGGCATTTATCCTAAAGAAATAATTCAGAGAAAGGAAAATTTGCATACATGAAGGTGTTAATTATGGAGCTGTGGATAGGAGGAGAAAACAGGATTAATTCTAATAAACATTCGTGAGATTCAATAACCAAACGATGCAGAAGGAACGTGTAGATGTTGGGGAAAGTTTAGGAAGACTGCGAGGCAGTCTGAGAAAAAATGTGCATGATATGAAAAGGGGGATACGGAAAATCCAACCATGCTTTCATATATAATAACATCTTGGAAGAGAACCCAGGAAAAGCTGAGCAGGTTTGTTTTATAAAATGTCTTCTGCTGTTGCACAGACTGTGTTCTTTCCTTTTTGGTTCAGGTTAGATCACACCTCACAGTGTTTACTTTGTTAGCTCTCTATTTTGGATCTACCATACATAAATATGTGCCTATTTTGGATCTACTGTACATGAATATGTGTATATTTGAGCCTGTGAATTTCCAAGCAAGTTTTCCTGAGGCAGTTGACAGCTCCTACATCTACAGTGTTCACCAGCATCTCCTGCCTTTCTGACCCATCTTTTCTCTGACAATACTATATGCCCTGTGGTTAGGGGAATGGCCTTACCCTTACCAGATTCCGTCTTTCCTTGTGTTGTCAATCAAAATGTTCTGACTGTCCCTCTCAATAAACAAATACTTATTTTTCGCTTGGTCTGTGAAACCCAAGAACTGCCCTGGTTCTCAACTGCTGATTCTAAGACAGAGCAGTTCAACTTCATTCTTCATTCCTAGACTTAATCTGCATCCTCCCAATATATTTCTATCTTTGGTCATGAAGCTGGGCGTCCTCTGTCTTCTTTCTTTCTTCTGGCCTTCGCTTCTATAACGAGTGTTGTGAAGTAGAGGAAACAGACTCTTTTATTCTGACTTTGGGATAAGAGAAGAGTTCCCAATGGGAAGGAATACTGAAGAGTGGAATTTCTACCGGAAGTAACAGGGAGAGACAGGTTATTTCAGGAGAGCACCTGTATTTTGAGAGTCTATGCTTCTGAGAAGTAGTGCATAGCTTGGAGTTGCAAATGTTTGTTTGAAAGGAGCTCTTCGGAGGCTCTCAAAATGCTTGCTGCTGTCGCGTTTGCCATTGTGCCCAGCATGTGGAGGGGTCAGAGATTTGCCTGTTGAATCAAAAGCTGACATGGGGGTGGAAATGGGTGCAAAAATGGTATGCAAATTATCAAAATTGATAGGCAAACTATCAGATGCCTGGAGGTCATCTAAAACAGGCAGGATGCAAGGAAGCCACTACCGAGTCACCAGTATTTTGAGCAGGGGACAGACCTGATCAGATGAGAAAGCCAGGGAGGCTGACAGCTGTGTGGTAGCCACAGGAGCATAAACATTTGAGGCTGCTGGGAAAGCAGATGCATCTTGCAAACGTGGGCTGCTGGTTTGTGTGCTGAAAGCATTCTGGGCTGCACCAGCTGCCACGTCAGGAGAGCCCCCACTTCATCCAAGTGCCAGAGACCTGCGTATGGAAGAGACATCGGTGGCGGCTTCTGTAGAACTGTGCCCACAGAGCACCAGCTCCTTTCTGAGCTTGCTAAAATGTGCTGGCTTGATTTAAGCGTGAGCCCAGAGAGTTGGAGTGATTACCATGCTCCAGAAGAGGTTTGCTTTATGCAAATTAGCAGAAAGGACGTTTTTGTGTGATGTATCTGGGTGGTAGCATTGGCTAGTGTTTTTTTTTCTTTCTTTCTTTAAGTTACCAGGGAGTAAAGTGATATCAACACCGAGGATGATAATTTAGCCTCGGGAGCCTTGGGGGAGGGCTCCCCAGATAGGATTGAGCAATGAACTCTATTGCACCATACTTTTAAGTCTATTGTAACACAGAGCCCAGCCCAGAAGTTCTGAGTATGAGGCATCAGGAGCGGTGAGCCACCAAGCCCCCCCACCCCGACACTCTCTCCCCTTTTCCCTGTTTTTCCAATTAACAACAAAACGTTGGTGAAGAAAATCTGTCGGGATCTGCCATCCCTCCTCCTCTCTCTGCTCCAGTAAGAGCAAGGGTCTGTGATCCCTGCGGCTGAGGGGCAGAGGTCGGATGACAGATCGCAGTTTCAGCCTAGAGTCCATCATGAGTTCTAGGCTCTACTTTCTGGTAACTTTTTTTAAAAAAAAGAATGATAGCTCATATGGAGAGCTGCATATATGCACAGCCTGCCAGGGACTTAAGAGGGGTGCAACTGTGGGGTAAAGTCTCCTTGCTGGAGAAGAAAAGCACCATGTCAAATATGGTGAGTCTGTTCACTGGGAAATTGTGGAAACTCACATCACTCCCCCAGCTAGGGACGGCAAGTAAAAGATGGAGCCAGATTGGGCAAACGTAGAGGATTTATTTTGCCCCAGACAGCAAATGTGAATCTCTTCCAGATTTAGTTTTACTTCACCGTTTGGATTAAAAGGTAGATGTCTGTGAAAGAAGAAATATGTTTCTGCAGCTTTCGACTTTGAAACGACAATGCTCACGCCACTCCCTACATTAAATTCTTTAATTTCGCTAGTATGTTCAGTAAGTAACCCGGGCCCAGGTTAATGCTAACACGCTGCCCTAACGCAATCATGACATTTTTTCCTTGGTCTGAAGTGACATATCAAAGGAAGGTTTTTACCTTTTTGGTTAATATTATTATAACTTAAAATTATTATTTGCCAGCCAAGTCCTGCTACATAGACCTCCCCACCTCCCCCGCTTCAGCCTTCCATAGGCTGTGCACCATAAAGTGCTGCTTTTGCATGAAACTATTAGTTAGGGTCTGAGTTGGTAGTGCTTGCCATCAGGATGGTCATTGTCATCCCCAAAGCCTCTACAGCTGACGATTTGAGTTCTAAATAATACTTCAGTATCAGCTCTGGGGATTCCTGCTTGGGAATTAATGGTAGACTTGGTACAGTCCTGTCCAGGTCTTTAAGACCTCTTTGTGATCTGCTGGCCTCATGCTGTCCTAGCTGTCCTGGCTAGGAGGCTGCTTTTCCAGGAACGCTCCTCGTGGGAATGCCCTGGAAGGACCTTGCACCAGTAGGAGCTCAATGGCTTCACGATTCTCCCTTAAGGCTTAGTTAGCACTCGGCTCCCTCACTAGGCAACCCGATGTGATGCTGGGTGCTTGTGTGTTGCTCTCCCAGGCCATGCCTGTGCCTCCTGGGAACGCTCAACGCTAAAGTGTTACTCATGGGGCGG